TTATACCAAAACCAATAAAAGAATGCGGAAATTAATCAACGCAAGACACAAACTCTCCTCTTCTTCAAGACACAAACAATTTTCAAAGCAATGACGATCAATACTCGCGAAAAGTAGGTACGTCAACGCATAGCAATAACAGCGTCTGCGCTTCACAAAAGACACGTCCGCCTCGGTCGAGAGCTCGACGCGCACCGGTTGGTTAGGTCTACGAACTTCATATTATTCAATATTTTAATTTAGAGTATTTTGAAGTAAACTTTTATATATGTATTAACATAACAATACCTTTAAAAATATCCAATTTTTAAATAAAAGTTGTAATGTCCCCTCAATTTATTTTTCGATTTCAAGAGTTCAATTTAAAAATCACGTGAAGCGAGTGATCGAGTCTTTCTGATTAAAATAAAGAATGGATTTTATTTATACTCTTTGAAACTATAAAATCAACTCAATATTTAGATGAATCAAATAACAATCTACTAGTGTTTATTTTGATATAATTGCGGTATCAAATTTTAATGTTATATAATACATAATTTGAGGGTGTGTAAACACGTCTTAAAATATTTCACTTGAACTCCTCAGACTCCGAGAGCAATTTACGGACACACCTGCGCCCGTTAAGGCTTAGGACACAATATATCTTCACATTTTCGCTCATGACACGGTTTACTTTAAGGCTTCGACGCTTAATTTTCAAAGATGTAATAATATAGATCACTATGTTTTTGATTAGTCTCGTCAATTGTGACAAGCGTAGTAAGTGTACTACGCCTTTGAATTAATGGACTGAATTTACATGTTCTATTAATTTTTAAATTCAGAAATAAAATAATTTTGTGTTAATGAAATGTTTATTAATGTTGCCAACATTGAAGTTTTAATCAATATGTGACAACGAATAATATTTCCTTTTGTAATAAATTCAATACAATTCCAGTGATAAAGTCAGCATATTATATTTTACGGCTTTTTGTGTTTTAACTTATAAAAACATTTAATTAATTTTAAACCCCTATATAACGCAGTCATATTTTGTCTACTTCATTTACAATTATTAAGAAAACTCCCGAAACATGTTTTGGCCAGTAAATAACTTTAGAACCGTAAAATATATGCTCTATGTTATAATACATAGAAGAAGTAATAGCCCTGTATTATTAGACTATTTATTTTCGTAAAAACAGGTAAATCTTATAACATGCAGTTTATAGAATTATTTTCAAAGCATTTGGATCATTCCATAAATGTCTGTGAGTATGCGGCTTATCCATAGACATTAATTTGTAATGTAATCGATCGAAGTCAGACTGTCGTTGAACGTGAGATCTATCTACTCTGTGTCTTTGTGGAATCAAGATAAAATGCTTTCTTACATTAATCTAATTAAAAAAAGTCTTCTATACCTCTTCTACCTCTTAACTATATCCTTTTCATATTTTCAATCGTGACTTTTTGAAGTATATTTTTATAGTAACGTAAATATATTATTTTTATTTTATTGAAGTGATTCATGACGCTTGACATTAGCTTTTAGTTTTTTTTTACTATTTTAGATGTTTGTTTAGAAATTTTATAATATAACAATGCAGACACATTGTTATCTATAATTTTAATTTGTCTATTTAATTAGTAAATCACTTTACACTTAGTATAACATTTCCTTAATAGGGTTGCCTGAAAGAGATCGCTAGTTAGCGATAAGGCCCGCTGCATCCTTAATATTTTTTTGCTATCTAATGTATGTGTACTAAGCATCAAAGTGTTAATAAATAAATAATATATTAATTATGATAGAATTAAGAAGATTTAGGGATTGTCTATGGAAACTACCATGTCTCAAATATATCTTGAAACCTGGAATGCACAAGCGATTTCATTTCTCTATTACGAACAGATTTTTTTGATATTACTTACACGACTCTGCGAAAACGCCTATCACTTGACCTTACCCTTGTTATCATAGCGTAGGTTAAGCTATAACTCGTATAAAATATCGTTCCAAATTTAAACTCCTAATAATACAGGACTCCCACACAAAACTGCGATGCGATGCGATGCTATGTGAATTTCTGCGATACGATTTAGTGCGACGAACCGTTTGGTAGGGCGACCATTTCTTCGTAGTCAGCCGTACTGGACGTGTTTTTAGGACGCGTAAGATGGATTGTAAAAAGATAATTGCACTTCTGTTATTGTTAAATAGATATGAAAGAAAAAGGAGATTCTAGGTTCATCCATTTATTACGATTATGAACTCTGATCCAAACTTTCACAGACGCTCTTCAACGCATCTTGCTTAATAAATTTATTTTTGTAATGTTCATCACTTGTGTCCCAAAGGACGGGACGCTCCTCAATTAAAAATATTAAAATATCCACATCATATTCCGCAATTTTTTATAAACAAAGAAGGCGGCGGAGGCGCCGCGCGTCTTTCTCTAAAGCTGTCTCAGAGCGGACTAAAATGGCGTCACCAAGGATGACGTAATATCGCAAGAATGTGCGATGCGAAGCAGATCGGAACTTCTTACGGTGCGTTCGTGCGAATTCGCAAATATTTGCGATGCGATGCGAATTCGCAGTTTTGTGTGGGAGCCCAAAACTGCCACCATTGCTCTATTACCTTATTCATTAAAATGCATCCGATGTTTGAATTTCGAATGTTGTTAACCAGTGGCGACGATTTCTAAAAACTTCTAAATTCAAACCACATTATACCATAAAATAAGTAATTTAACAACGTTATCTATAGAAATCGTATGAAAGTACGATTTTCAAAGTTCTAGCATAATGCAGACACGTAAAGAATTTTCACAATGTAAAATAATCGCGCGTGACACGAAATGACGATGCTTTCGAGTACAAAGGTATGTGCACAATGAATTTACTTTGTATTCACTCTTCAATTTCATTATGTATATGCATTGTAATTAAATAAAAGGATATTTTTTTTGTATTCGTTTTCAGATCTTTAAAAAGTTATTAATGTTTACGTATTGTAATAAGGTTATTATTAAATTCAACATGTCACGTAATGTTGTAACGTAGACACATTAATTAATCCCCGTATTTAATTAGCCACAACGTAGAAAAGTCGTTAAAGGAACGAAATACAATTAAAAACTCTACGCGTTATAAAACGGCGTGACATATGTACTAGCGTTTTTTGACGTACGGGCCAAATTCAAAGTACACGCCTAAGCTATCAGTAGCACTACCATGAGTTGACAGACCATTAAATGCTGAATAATGTATTTTTAAGAAAAAATGTGTTCTAGTCTCTGCTTTTCGATAAAACAATTAATTTAGTTGTTTAACAGGGCCCTGAATCATACGTCCTCGTGGGGATTCCTGACTCCCCCTGGAGGGGGGGAAATAAACACAATCCAAATAAGCAAAATTAAGAAACCACGAGCAAGCTGTGTTTTTAAACGATTGTAAATTATTTCGAAACCTCTTTGCTACGAGTATATCTTTAATATAGCAAAAAGGTTACTTTACCTCATATCCGTTATATTATATATCTCATCATCTAAACTCAAAACTCATTTTAGAATACATGAAAAAGTTAATATAAAAGATAAGACTCCCAATTGTCAAATACGGAAAGTTTATACCATTATAGACGTTACCTTATATCGCGACTTGAACGTTAAGCTAAACTTCGGTAACTTTAGCTAATAAAATTTTATTTTATTCAGCCCGTATGGAAATTATCAAGGATTTCATACACTGACTCCGAACTAAATACGAATAAAACGATTTTGAACACGCATTTCTCGTATATGGCCTTTGAGCCTTTGATACCGAATAGCGTCATTAGTCGTTAAAATCCTCTTCAGTTGAGGGCGTGCTCAGTATGATCTTAAGAGCCTGAGCTAAGCACTTTAGTCTTTTGTATACTTATTTAAAATATTCATTGTGTTTTTTTTATAATAAATTATTTTCCGAAAAATATTTTTATTTGACTGGCCTTGTACTGAGAGAATTAGATGTATAAAGCGTTAATTAGTTTATAAACAGTTCATTATATATAATACAATTATATATTCAAAGGCTAATGCTAAGCTATTTTTTGCTTGAACACAAAAATACATTTCGAATTGATATCCTTCCTCGTTTTATTTAAAAATTAAACACGTAGAAATGTATGTTTTTTTTTAGGACTATTACAGTAAATCTATGGGCTAGAAACAAAAAGGAATGGAGCATTATTTTAATAAAATATATTAGCTTAAAATTGTATCCCGAAAATAAAAGGGTTTAGCAAGATTTTTGGACGAAGAATTAAAGTTGTGATTACTGTATTTCTTATATTGCAACAACTTGACAACACAAACTAGACACTATTCTTTTCCACCAGGAAGTTGAACAAATCTAAATAAGTAACTTATATACTAAGGCCGATGACATACATTATAGGAATTGTTTTGCCCGTAAAACGTCACAAACCAATTGAAACATCAACATTATTAACATTAGACGCTCTATATGTAGCCGACGTAAGAAACCTATTTTCGACGAGAATTCTTATTCAAGATGTCTTATATATAAATTTATTGTTATGGATTGTTTAAAATTGTTTGATTTTTGTAATAATTCTTTAATTTGAATTTAATTTTACTTTTTGTTATGTCATTAAGAAGTGCAGGAAGTTTATTAAATTTGTAATAGGACAGTTTTTTCCCATAATGATTAGTGTTTTTTGATAATAATAATAGGAAAATCGGTACCATTCATATCCTTGCATAAGCATTAATTATATGAAAATGATTTGGTATAAACATACAGTATATATAGCCATTAGAGTGAGTTTGTATATAGACGTTACAAAAAGATATAAAAAATTATGTTTAAGACAATGTAACTGTAATGATTGTTTTTTAATTTTGATTGATTCTGATGTTATTGATTTAAACCCTATTCATGTCAACCAAAGCATAGTGGATGAACCCTAGATAAGCAAGAAAATGGTTAAGCCGTATCATTCTTACCTTTTTCAAACTCTCTTGAGTTAGGTTTCTTTAGCAATATGGGCTCGTGGTCTTCCCTCCTCCACGTGATCTTGGGGGCAGGATGTCCAGTCGCTTTGCAAGTGAGAGTCGCATTCTCCAACTCTTGAACCGATACGTCTCCAGACGTATCATCACTCATTATATCTGGAGGCACTGCGGAAAAAAAAGTTTATTTATTTATTTATACTTTGTTGCATTACAATATAAAAATTTAACATAATTAAATGTAAAGGAGGGCAACTGGTGGCCTTATCGCTTTCGAGCGATCTCTTCCAGGCAACCACTGTGAGAATAGCAAAAAAATGTATTAAATTAGATAATGTAGGCAAAAAGAGCAAAAATACATATTACATATAGTTATTAAGAAAAAAAAACTAAACAGGAACAAAAACCAAACTTAAATTCCCGTTATTTATTAATTTTGGACCATCTTATGTATCGCTTAAGTAAATAAGCATTTTAGTCATATTAAAATTGTTAAAAAAAACTAGTTTATCATAGCTTAATATAATATTGATATTTTTTTTTATTGTTTAAGCCGTTCATTATTTAATATCTAATTCGTAATAGCGAAAAATTCCTGCCAAGTAACATTTAAAATATTGCTAATAATTATTTTACAAAAATACACATGAAAACCCACAACATGAAAGAAAGCCTAAAAGAAAATAAGTGAAACAGGCACATAAAATGTAAAGCTCATATCCGAAATAACACGCCTTAAGGCACTTCATTAAAAACATTTGAAAATTGCAAATCAGAATGAAAGTTTTGCCCTAACATTCTGAATATTCAATGCCTGAGAAGGGACTAAGCGAAATTAAAACCCTAAATTTATTCTACCCAAATCAAATGAGACAGAAAAGACCATAAAAAAGCGTTCAATGCAAATAGCGGCCCAAGTAAAACATTTAAAACAACAAAAAGATTCCATGTTATTCCGTAAGACGACATAAATCATGAGGACGTTTTGGAAATTTCACTTTTTCCCGCGCGAAGTGAAAAACTTTTTAGGAAATTGTCACGCTGTTCAAGTTTTGATTTTTTACCGTTTTTAGATTATTGTTGTTGTAAAATTAACAAACAATAATTAAGCATAAAATCATGTAGTTATTTTATAAAAGGAAAATTTCTTGAACAGCATAAATGTTTAGTTATTTCATAGATATTTTGTATCGCTGGCACTTAAAAGCAAGTGTCAAGGGATAAGCTTTTTACGACCGAACATACTAATATCGTTACGATCATACATCAATCATGCGGGATTTAACTGTACGGGGAAAGAAATTAAGCCGTTATGACACATTATTGACACAACGCAATTTGTTTATGGAAAGAATTTGAATATAGAATGTCTATTCCGAGGATTTTAGTTCTAGAATTATTTTTATCGTCAATATGACAATGGTTATCCTCCTAAGCGGCTTTTGACAGTTCAATTTTAGAACGAATATTTTGCTATTAAGCTCGGATTTTAAAGCACAATAAATTTTTATTTTTATTACACCGCCGCAAATGTTATTTCCATTTCCAAAATGTTTATATGAAAAGAGCAAAATAAAACCTTAATACACGTGAAAAAGATAGACTTTCATAGGCCACAGACAACAAATTGAAGAAAAAAATGGTTCACGGAATAACGTCAGAATAAATTCCAAATTGGAAAGGAATCGTAATCTTTACCGTGCATGTATATCAAGAACCGAAATATATAATATTAAAGTTTGCCTCACAATTTTTGTTTTTTATTACAAATAAAATATGTATAAAGCTTCTAATAGTAACGACAGTCGGACCTCGGTATGGACAAAAGCAAGGTATATAATAAAGAAAGTAGAACTAGTCAAAGATATAGAAAAATACTTTTTTACCGGATTGAAGTTATGTATTTTTTTTATAAATTTACAATTATTTTACATAATTTTAAATTTAACTGACGTTTCGCGTGCTTTTAAAGTAAGTAAGTAAAGGTAAAAAAGTGTTTTTCAATGTGTAAAAGTTATGTCAATAAAAGACAATACTATAGTCAAAGATATATCACATAGCATTTAAAATCAACTTATTAGTATAAAGGGGTCATTTGATGTAGGTTACATTCAATGAAAGAATTTCTTAATCGGCTTAGTTGAACTGCAACTCGCCTGTTTTACGACTGTGTCCTAACTACTGACTTGCAGATAATATCTGATATTGTTGGAATATTTTAATTTATTTACAATAAATTAATTCTTCAAACTAATGTACTATTATTTGACAACTGACATCGCTTTTCGTTTACGGAAGTACTACACATTATTAAGACGTTTTTACGGATTTTACAATGCTTACAGTCGTGGTAGCAACAGACTACTTGAATTTTGGTATTTAAATGCTACAAAGTTTTATTATCGGATGTCGAGGCAGAATACAAAATTCCACCTCGAAGTACGTCGTTCCACAATTGAGCGTTTTTTACCACCGATGTATTTCCGAACCAATACGACTTAGGGTCCTCAAGAAAAGAGCGTACCAATTCTTAAATGTGCGGCAACGCACTTGCAAGCCCTCTGGCAATCTGAGTGTCTATGGGCGGCGGTATCACTTAACATCTGGTGAGCCTCCTGCCCGTTTTACCCCTGTTACATAAGTAACTGAGGAGTAAGCTGAGGAAGTAAGAAAGAGAAGACAGCAAGAAACGATTGTATATATTTAGTATTTATTTCAGACCCTTGATCCGTACATAAAAAGAAACCTTCTTTGTTACATTAAAACCCTTTTCATTAAACAGAGAACTTAAAGAGTAATTTGAGGAAGAAAGAGAAGAAATCAAGAAAAGATCAAGAAATCAAGTTTGTGTTTCCACCACACCAACTTATTTTCTATTTAAGATCATGTATATAATAAATAAATAAACATAAATATTTGAGACCCGCATATGTATTGATTAGTAAACAAAAGTACCTATCGGGCATGCACCGCATTACGCCTTAGAATCGGAAGATACAAAGTCAGTCATATGGTTTTGACAAATTCAAACATCGAACATTGCAATCTTCCACTAATGACAAAGCATATTTGCTACTAGAATTGGTAATGAAATGGGCCTACATTAGCAATTTCCTACTAATATCATTTCTTCTTTTGTGTATTTTTTTATGATTGGCGTCATGCATCCAGCAGCTACGTAGTAGTATCCTTTACAATGATAAAAGTTTATTGCCTTAAAGTGTTGTTCGTAGCTTTCGTAGCCCTCGTAGCAGGCGTAGCATACGTAGCCATTTTTTACCGATTTCCATACTTTAGCGAAGCTATATTAAATAGAAATTCCATTTATGATTCAATACTCAATACAATAATGGTTTATTCACTGAATTGATTTTAAGCATAATATCCTATAAATTATTCATTATTTATCAATTGTGACGAATTATTATTCATCTAGTAAAACAATGCTTTAATATTATTCAAGATTTAGCGATATGAAAGTAATTTTAGATTTAATATGTAATTGGTGATTAAAATTATACTAGATTTATATAGATTTACTAGGTATTATGTGGGTCGCGAAGCCATGCGTGTCATCGGGTTCGATTCCCGGTTGGAAAGCAAATTATCATTAAGTTTTAGCATACTGATCTTGCTCAAGCCGTAAAACAAACAAACTTGAATGATTCACAACTTAACCCTTAAATACCTCAGTTGTTCTTTATTCACGCTCTAATGCCTTTTTGATTCGACACGCCTACGCCCAATACTATTTATGATTGCTATAAAACAATAGGGGTCAGAATCCATTCCAAGGGCCATAAAGATAACAGTAGTTTATAGCCTAATGAAGTGTTTAAGCTCAATCAAATTTCACCTTTATGGTTTTAATTAGAGGAATAACTATTTTATAATCCTTAATAGGTTTCATTTCGATAAATTATCAAAATGCGTGTTAGTTAAAACTATTTAATTACTTTCTGTACTAATAATTAAAAACGTTTATGTATATTAATTATAACGGTATTATTCCTTCTTTTATGTTCCAACTTTACAACGAACTTATCGCTAAATCTACTACTAAATCTAGTACTTTAAAAATGTAATGGAATTCGACTCACGGGGGTCATAGCTTGCGCGTCTCGTTTAATCTCACCCTTAGACCAAATATCTACGGTGTGTGTCAGACACAAAAGGCCGATAACATAGTAGTCTATTAGAAAAAAAATGACTAAACATAAACATAAAGCTTTAGATTTAATAAAACTGAAAACAATAAATAGAAAGACTTGTTATAAAAGATGTCAATATTATCATTAGGAGCATTAGATGTAGCGGAACACAGAGCCGGAGGTACGTATTAAAGAACTTCTAGAAACTCTAGGATGATAAACGAAAACTAAGCAAGCAAGTTCTGTATTAAAGTACTAACTTTATATAAATAAACAAAATCAATGAAGTCAGGTATATTAGTTATTTCTTCAAACATGAACACACAAATACAAAATCACGATTCACTTCATAAAAGTTATGAAAACTAAACACCAACTTGCACGAAGTTTTCTTTCTAAGATTTTTTAAACTCTTAAAAGCATTCTTTCACTAAGTGTACAAACGTTACATCAAAACTCCATCCGTTCGGATTCACAGATAGAGTTACAACAACTTTATTCAGAACTTCCGCGGAAAATATTTAATGTTCAACATTTTATTTTGCTTTGAAGACATCGTATGAAAAATTTCATTGCAAAATCCAATATGTTTGCAGCGACGTCACGCGTTGATGAAATATCTTTATTCCTCGCGATATGAATGTGGAAAATAAATGCTTTTATAGTGTCAAGATTATAAAATTCGAAGTATTATACGGCAAGTCATTTCGTTTACGCTGTTCAATCAGTTAATGTTCCGTCATAATAACGGTAAGTTGATTACTTAGTATAGTATGAGAAAGTTTTTTAACGTCTTCGTTCACTGTCATGGGGCTTGCAATACTTTGTCAGGATGAAAGTTAGTAACAACTAAAAGGAATCCCATATTCAAATAACAAAATATTTGAAGTATCGAAAACTTTGCAATAAAAGACCAAGAAAGATTTCATCAAAAATAATTCTTCGATGCCATGTCCCACCGCGTGACACTCGCTCCAATAAAGTAGGGAACAAGTTCGAATTGAATAAGAAATCGCG